TTTTGCATTTTTACATTTTGAGGAAATCTGAAATTTTATAAACTGTTACAGAAACTTGTGCATTTCTTAAGTATTGCTTTTAATAATAAAATGGTAATCCATGATAGCATTATAAATTATAATAGTCTATAAAATAAAATATATGTAATTGTAAAACAAAATAGTTCTATTCAACGAGTATAGGGATATTGTTACATTTATTTTAGTGTGAAGTTAATTTGAAAATAAACCTGTGAAAAGATGCATCAGAAATTTTCTCATTTCTATTTATTATTAATGCAATTTTTAATGCAACAGGTAGGCATGTTTGTGTATAGCTACGAAAATGAAAGTTTACTTAAAAACTAAATTATTGTATCTGACACGAAAATTAGTACAGAAACAAAAACGAAAGAATAAATGACAATATAAAAATTTAAACATTGATTGAAAGAGTTTATTCTAATTATATGGTATGGGCAATTCGTTGCGAAATCGTTGGAGGAAATGGTGTCAACAGTAGTTATTTTACTGCATGGTAGTTAATCAGCCGGTATAAAGGTTTTATTCAATTCCTATCAAATAAATTTGACAAAATATCATACACAGAACTAAATAAAGAAATAGATAGATATATACACGTAGTTATAATACATTTATAATGTTGTATTTACACATTCAAATTGTACAATTGTGTTATGGTGTAGTCTCAAATTATTTTAAATTCTCTCAGAAAATTTTAAACGTTTTACTACACTAAATATACTAGTTATTTTTATCAACAATTTAAAAATTTTATCAATAATTAAAAAAAAATTTCAAATTGATTTCATTGCGATATCACTAATGATTTTTGTGACCTGACTGATTAAAAAGCATCAAAGAAAGTTAAAATAGGATGGAGAATTTGTTATATTGGGATATTCGTTTAAAAAGCGAGCAAAATTTTAATATAAAAGCGCTTATAAATCTATGCATATTGGCTCAGCTTGGCTTGGCTCGGCTTGGAATCGGATGTTAAGCAAGGTGTGGTATAAACTATTTTGAATTCTCCCCGAAAAATTTGAACTGCGTGCGTACATATATAGTAATGGCTACTGTTGTTTTTTATAATGAATTTATGCATATTGGCTCAGCTTGGCTTAGCTCGGCTTGGAATCGGATGTTAAGCAAGGTGTGGTCTCAAACAATTTTGAATTCTCCCCGAAAAATTTGAGCTGCGTGCTTACATATATAGCACTGATTACTGTTGCTTTTATAATGAATTTTTATTATATATATATATAAAGTGACTGGAATCTATGTATACAAATAATTAAATTATATTATATTAGATTATGTTTATATGAAAAGCAATATAGCAGATTCAACCAGCCAACCAGAAAGTTTCGAAGGCGTTCGTTCGATGACTTCAATTTAGTACGGTTA